ACAATGGTCGGGAAATATTGACTAAGTCCAAGAAGGACCAAGGTCGGAAAATTGTTCTAGTCGGGATTAGACTAGACGGGAAACATTTGATCGAGTCCGAGAAAGGACCTAGATCGTTAAAATAGATCAAGTACAAGAGAGGACCAAGATCGGGAAATTTGATCAAGAGTCGGAAAAGACCAAGATCGGGAAACTTGATCAAACTTGGAAATAGATATTTGATCAAGTATGAAATCTAAAGTCTTGGGAAGACTAAAGATGGGAAAACGTTAAGGAGTAACGGAACTCTAACACCCGCCGAATTCGAGGACGAATTCATTTTAAGGGGGGTAGACTTGTAACGTCCGCGTCTCGCGATCCTAAAGGGGGCCGGTTTGTTTTAGGAAAAACTAGATCATGGTCGAGAAAGACCAATGAATAAGTTAACCCAAGGAAGGAATGAAACGTTTAAGTCATGAAAGGGGTAGATGACTTAGACGGTTTCGGGGTAATCTAGTGATCATGGAGAAATGATCACGGAAAGATTAGGAATGGCGAAGTCAAGGCCGAGAAACGGACCAAAAGACTTAGCCGGAAAGAACGGACAAAAGAGTCCGAGTTAATACAGCTAGGTGAGCTGGACAAGCTAGACAAACTAGCTAGCTCAGCTAGGTGAGCTAAACCAGCTGGAGGACTAGCTAGTTCAGCTAGGTGAGCTGACCGACAGCTCAACCGAGCTCGGTGAACTGACCGAGTACTGACCCAGCTTGGTGGTCCGGTCAGCTAACACTCGAGCTGGTGGACTGTGGTAGCTCGGGGATGAAGAGGTGTAAAGTCGAGCGGTTACCGACGAACGGTTACCGTTGGCCAAAGGGTGGATAAGGCCGAGCGGTTACGATCGGAAAGATGCAACCCTTCGGAAGGGTGTAAGGAACGGATGTGCTTCTTCGGGAAGGCACCCATTCGGCCCTATATAAGGGGTGGACGTCCAAAGGACTTCACAACAATCCACACACACTTTACAATCAAAAACCCAATCCGAAAATAGTCCTAAACACGCCATGAAGTTGTTGGTCGGAAAGGGGGTGCGGCTCGGCGAGTATCTTCGGAATCGGAACGGATTCCCGGAGCGTCGACCGAACTGATGCGCATGCTACCTCCCGATCCAACGGTTCGATGGAATGTTTGGATGGTTTGATCGGAACGATCATCGGAGAGACGGATCGGAACGGATGGATCGTTCGTCGGAGAGACGGGACGGATCGGGTAAGATGGTCGGGTCGACCGAATGATCAGATCGTGGTATCGATCGATGGAACGACAATTCGTCCGTTCTATGAATCATATCGTCGAGGAAAGGATACGAAAAGGAAATGGATCGACAAATCTAAGATTGTCAATATGGAAGTATTGACGAATCCAAAGATAGACCGATAGATGATATGGTTAACGGGAAGTTCATCAGGAAGGCGTATAAGGGAAAGGTGTTCGAGGAAGCACGAGGATAAGTGCAACCGAACACACCCAAGGGTCGCCCATGGATGCAATCTCACCGGTAAAGGGAGTAAGCACCGAGAATGGGTAAGTAACGGGGTTCACCATGTAAGGATCTAATATCGCGGCCGCCTTTATGTATCAATCGCCATGGCCAATGGTGAAACCGATTAGGAATCGGTAAGACCAGTGGTGACTCGACGGATAACCAACGGGAAACTCCACGGTGAGAACCGGTGGACAAAACGGATGTTGGACCCGCGAGCAAACCAAAGGCCGACGGACGAATGATTTCATGGGCTAGCCTACGATAAATCCGATGGATGAATCCACGGATCCTTGGGTGTGATAATGATATTGTTCGGATCGCATGGATAGATCGATAAGCCGAAGGCTTTACCGACTACCATGGACCGGACGGGTAAACGGTTAATAAACCGTAGGCGGTCGTAGTGATAAACGACCGGATCGGAAACATGGATGGTCTGATAAGCCGAGGGCTTGATCTTCCACCATGAAACCGAAGGAGAGTATGTTTGGAGGACAGATGGACCAATGAGCCAAGAGCTTGATTTGGCCACCGTGAACCAAGGAAAACGTACGATCCCCAATCTCTATCGTAGGGACTTAGACCAGTGGGGTTGGTTGGATGTATGGCTAAGTAACGTTAGAGATTGGTCCATCAATACATGATTGGTTAAGAATCGTTGTACGAATGGAATATGGAAACAAGAAGGCTAAGGGAAGGATCAATGGACGGATCGAAGAGGAATCAAATCCACATGTTGGCCAAGGTATGTAAACGAATCTAACTTATTCGTTAAGCTAGACGTTTAGGAATTGGCCGTTGAAATTAGGATAACGGAATATGCAATCGTTAGACTTAGAATGGTTAGCGAACAAATTGCATGTCTTGACCGAATAAAGGTTCGATCTAAGTCTTAAGGACAAAGACGATAAAATCGGTACAAGGGTTGGTTGGAATTAAACCAAGGATAGAAAGACTTCCGCTGGGTAATAAGAAAGCGATTATAGAATTAAGCCTCGTAAAGGCAATTCTATGTCAAATCGCGAAAAATATGGAGGTTCGGCCGGGAGGAGGCACGAACGTGCGTCAATGGTCACCGGACGCCGAGACGTCCGGGACGGGACGCTACACTCCTCCAAAACTAAAACATTTCTTATGGCAAATTGCTTCGGGATCCTTAGCAGTAACTTCAAAATTAGCACATCGTGGGATTCGGTGTTGATATGTTGTGTTTTTATCGGTTTTGAGTCTTTGTTTTCTTTCCTAGATCATATATTTTATAGAGTAAAAGTTTGTTTTTAGAGTCTTTTAGTCCTTTATCGAGTCTTTACAGGTTTTAGGTTGCTTCGGAGGAAAACGAGATGTTTTGGGATAAAAACACACATTTGGAGATGCAGTTTCGGTTAGAAGTATCAAACGTTTGGCCTCCGATGGAAGACTTACCACCGTTAGATCTTTCTGAAATTTTGACACAAGCTATATGACGATGTTAGCTTGAGTTTCCAAGTAATTTGAAGGAAATATAACGGTGCATTCAATAGTTATATCCGAATTAGTGAAGACAGGTCATTCTGGCGAGCATTTGAAGCAGTTGCAGAGCTGAAGACCAGAAGCTCCAGATCGATCGATCCACTTCCCTTACGGATGAGAAACGTTCCAGACACTGCTGGATCGATCGATCCTCCTTTGGATCGATCGATCCCTTCCCCAGACGTAGTTTTGGCCCAGATTTGACCCGAGTCACTCCAGATCCGACCCGGCTCGTCTCCTATTGTTTTAAAACCCTATGCTCAACTTTTGAGACATTATCTTGGATATTTTTCAGTTCTAAACTTAGTTCTTTGGTTTGTAAACAACTTTGGGCAAAGGAATCCATCCTCTTGACACTTGGAGAAGATTTCTAAATCCTTTCTTGTTATTTCTACAATTTTATCATGTTTTCTTCATTGATTTTTGTTATCTCTTTTTCTATGTGTGAGTAGTTCTCCAATTGGGTATTAGGGTTCCAATTAGGAGATTCAATGGATTAATGGATTGATTGTGTTAGGAATTCTCATTCTCTAGGTTCTTTGATTCACATGTTCTTAATGCTAGAATAGGATTGATCACCCTGTTGTAGATTCTAGGTTTTTCTATGCATCAAAAGTGTTCGATAGAATGCCTGAAAGAATGTGGATTGAGCAATGTATTTCTAGCCAACGAAAGTTGACGTTAGGACGCATTGTGAACTTAATGAACTTGTTTGGTAATGCGAATTTGACTAGGAAATTACATGCGAAAGTTTAGTAATCGAATAGTCAAATTTTAGTGATTAATGTCTTGAAAGAGAATTGGTTTAAATGTGTTCATGTTCGAGAACGGTTCTTAATTACTGAATTCCTGGTTTCATGTTTCCATTATTCATTGATCTCTGAAATACCCTAACGCCCAATATCTTTAAATCTTGAAGTTAAATCGTCTATTTTAATTGCATTTTTATTTACAATTCCGAAAACCCAAAACAAAACAATCTTTTAGCTTTAGCTAAGAACGAGTCTCGAAAATCTTTAGTGTACCATTGGTTCTTGTGGATCGACCCCGTATATACTACCTTGCGGTTAAGTGTATCGGGTAATTACTCGAGCAATCAGGTGTGATATTACATGTAAAAGATGTGAGATGGCAGAGGAAAAAATTAATCATGCTTTATTTGAGTGCTCACATTCTCAAAAAGTCTGGGAATTATCTGATATACCAATGGCATCAGGTAATTTTCCTCTTAGCTCGGAATTCTCTAATCTAGACTACCTATATTGGAGGCAACCACCTCCTATAGATGGAGGGGAAAAAACTTATTGTTATGCTTGGATTTTGTGGTTTATATGGAAAGATAGAAATAGAAAGGTTTTCAAAGGAATACAATCGGAACCCACAAATATTTTAAATCACGCTTTGAGTGAAAAATTAATGTGGGAAGAAGCTCAATTGGAACCGATGGAAAATAGCAATACTACGGATATTATGGAAAGCCCAGTCCAATCTATAAGATGTCGGATTGATGGATCTTGGAAATCCTCGGACCCAACTATGGGTATAGGATGGTGGTGTTTTCAAGGAACTGATCGAACTTTGTTGCTTGGTGCAAAATGCCTTCGGAGATCCTCCTCCTCCCTTCACTCGGAGTTGGAGGCTTTAATTTGGGCTATGAAGAACATCCTTTCAAGAAGGATTGATTGTCAGGCGTTTGAAACAGATTGTTCTGAGTTAGTCTCGATGGTACAGTCTCCTGAAGAATGGTCTGCGTTCTCCAATCTGCTAGATGATTTGGATTTGCTACGTGTTTCCTTTCCCCTCTTCTCGTTTTCCCTTATTTCTCGTTTATGCAATGTTAAGGCGGACTGCTTAGCCCGTTCTTCTAGACTTTTATTTTCTTATGTTACTTTTGTAAAATCTTCTCCTCCTAATTGGGCAACCAATCATGGAGTTGTTTTTTAATGAATGTGTGGTTGACAAAAAAAGAAAAAAAAAGTACATTGTACATATATATATATATGTGACATAGATTTATGCAGTCAAAACTATATACTAAAGCTTATTTTTCTGATTCCCTTAAGAATCTCTGATGGATATACACATCAAATTAAAACTATATTTTCTTCCACCAAAAATCTGATGATCACAGAGGAAGACAATGTAGTGGCTCGGGCAGGTTCGTTGGCATTTGTATTCCAACAACGTATCTCTGCGGATTAGGTCTTGTAATGGTCTTTGCGCGGTTATGAAACTTGCCGAGATGGTTTATCACGGAGAATCTTTCGAGGTCTTGGATTTCGAAGATGATGTCTAATATCGATGTAGTAGTCCTCTCCAAGCTGCATACACAATTTGAAAAAGAAAACGTATACTTAAGAAACATTAACATTTCAAGACAATTAACAAGCTGATTCATACCTCTGGAAGTCACTTTCAAGCTTATGAATTTTCTCCATGGAAGCATTAACGAGTGAAGAAAACTGTTGATCACTAGCTGTCTTCGAAGTTTGACGACTGGACAAAACATGTCTTTAGGGAAGTTAGCAAGTCATAAGAAACAGAGATAAATTTACATCTAAAGTCATATTGGAACTCACTTTCTGCTCTTCTCCAAATCCGATCGACATTTGAGAGAACATGAATCAGCGAGGGTCAATCTTGACATAAAGTAAAGCACGATTTCGTAGTTGAGAGCTGCGTTTTCGCCCAAGAAAACAAACGCTGGTGCTGGTTGGAGAAGCTGTTGCATAAGATGTGTGGATAAAACAAGCCTCCTCTCTGAAGGAGATTTCGCCTCATTTGGACCGACCTTATCATCGACGACAGTACCAATAAAAAAGTCAAATATCTGTTTATTTAAAGATAAGATATATAAGAGTATTGGTACCTTCTCACATAGCATATTTGTCGCAAGGCTCCACTCTTTTTCTGAAATACTATAGAGAGCAAATGTTTATACGTTAAATATTGTTAAAAACGATATTTCCTCTTCTAGAATGTGTTATTAGAATTACTGTAGAAGACTATCCGAGGAAATGACCTGATGCTGTGACATAATTCTGAACCTTGCAGATATACTTTGTGCCATGGTGACTGTAGAAAAATTGAACTTTTGCGCTTTTTCGGTCTTGAAGCAACCAAGTTTTGGTTTAAAATGTTTGATTTGGTCAATCCAGAGTTAGACTTCCAAGCATAGTTGTACATGCCCTGCTTTTTCGGATCATTGTCCGCCTTCGAATACCCTGCATTACACGATAAATGGCCAACAATTACAGAATTTTGGTGGATATTGTCAAATCTTCTAAAGAACATTTCATAATCCTTAATGTTTTCATTCCAACGAGAGAGTATCTTCTACATTAGCATGTTTTTTTTCCATCTAGGATCACTGTTTGGTCACATTACTGAAACTCATCAACAAGTATATTTATGTCAATGCACTTTTGCATCTCAATGTCACCAAAATTTAAACATATATAGATATATATACACATAGAAAGCTTCCGATATTTCCTTCTGATTTACAAGATAGTTTTTTTTTTTTTTCCAACATTTATGAGATAGTTTAAAACCCAAATAGAACAAAATAAACATTAAAAAAATGCTTTATTACTCAAATAGTGAATGCATGCAAAATTGAGAAGACGATTATTTTATTTTTTTAAACATCTGAAAAAAAAAACAGACAATCAGAGTCCAAAACAGAGATTTTATAGAATTGAGAGAAATTAAAGAAATAAACAACAATAGCAAGTAACAATACGATATCTAGAAAAGGCAGTGATATTTACCTATGAAGGGCATGATTATACTTTCTTAAAACTTGGTGAAACTTCAGTTTCTTTCACTCATATTTTTTCTGGGAAAGTTGAGAGAGAAAGTCTTGTTACTTCTGCAAGAAAATTAAGCATTTGAGATTGCATGCAATAATTATGAAAACGAAATTATATGAACATGCAAAGAATTTTCACATCTGAAAACAGACAACAGAGTCTGGAAAGTGACAAATTTAGAGGAAAAAAAAAGAAAAAAATTTCGAGTGAGATTACCAAGAAGAGACGATCAAGAGAGGAGGTTTGGGGAAAATGTAGAGGAGCTTAGCGAATGGACGGTTGGTCCACTAAAGCCTAACTATATATATGGGCTCTAACCCAACTGTAGTCCAACACATTTCAACAAATGAAATTGAATTTAAAAGAAATATTTCAAATTAACAAAATTTTTTTTATTTTTTTTGTTTAGCTTATACTCAATCATATGCACACAACTGTGGGGCAAAAATTTTAGATTTTTTTTGAATTTCTTAGACACACGAATTTAGATTTTCGTAATCCGGATGCATATACGATATAACACGGATTTTACTGGTTTTAACCGTGATATACGTGTTAGTTTTAGAGTCTTTTTGTTGTTTCCAGTGTCTTTTTGAGTATTTTCAAGTTTTTACATGTTCGGGACGAAATTGGAGAAAATGAATCATTCTGGAGCTAAATCGAAGATTTGGAGCTGAAGAGACGAATTCGGTTCGAACCAAGGCATGAGTGTCGACCGACACCCTTGGTGTCGCTCGACACCAAACACGGCCCAGCAAGAAGTCTCGACGGTTTAGAGTTTTAAAGCCCGCAGAATTTACCCAGAAGACTTCCCTATTTGCAATTATAGTCCCTGCACGTTTTTGAGACTTTATATATAGTTTTTAGGGTATTTCTATTTCATTATCTTGTCTTTTGCTTCTATAAGTCTCTGTGCTTGAACCCTTTGGAAGATAATTGGAGAGAGCAACTTTTCAGAGATTCAATACCTTGTTAGAGAGAAGATTTATTCTAAACTCTTCTCTTCTTTTAATTTCTTATTCTACAATTTATTCAACATGTTTTCTGTTTCATTAATCATGTCTGAGTAATCTCCCTGTTAGGTTTAGGGATTCTCAATAGGGATTTAGATGAACTAGTAAATCAATTATCTGTTAGGATTAATCCATAGAGTTCGTCATCTAGGTTGTTCTTAATGCTTGTTATAGAGTAGCTAACTAGAACCTGATCTTAGGATAATAGGTATTTGATCCGAGAGGGCACGTGTTACTGGAACTACTTTAGATGAGCCTGGTTTATAGGTGTGTAATAAGAATCGGCCTATCTACTAAGGTGAACTTATCAAACCTGAATTTAATGCTAGTCTAGATCTAGAAATTCGCATCGAGAGGTGGAATTACTGATATTAGGCTTGTTAGTTATCGCATCGAGAGGTGGTTAGCTATTCATTAGTGATTTGAGTTCAAGAACGGTTCATTAAATAATCCTAATCAACTTGCTAGATTTACTAATAGTTTATTTCCTGAGAATTTTCCTAAACCTGACGCTTTAATCCATTGATCTTTTCACCTGATAATATTGCCTGCTCGTGTTTTATTTTAATTTTAATTATTCTGTGTAGCATAATTTTGAGACTTATAACTTATTGTGTGAACAAAAGAACTTTGTGGAATTCGACCCTTAAGTACTGCAATAGATCTCTTATTCGAGAGACTAGGCTTTAGGAGTTAATTTGACTCATATCAATATACTCAATCATATGCATATGTTCATGTCATATTTGACCTCAACAACACTAACAAAAAATATAAATAAATTATTCAAAATAATAATAATAATTTTTTTACAATTTTTGAATTTTCTAATCATGATTTAAGCTCTTAAATTCAATTAAAGAAACATGTTTTCACATTAAGAGAGATCAGTTAATTTTTAAAGAAAAAAAAATACATGTGTTACATATTCAAAAATTATAAACACAATAATATATTTTACATAATTATTTTAAAGGATATAATGATTTATAAAAAGTTTATAATTGGAGGAAGAAAAAAAGAGCCTTATATCAATCCAGTATTCCTTTGCTACTTAAAGCCCACATTTTTCGAAACTAGTATGAGTCTTGTTCAAATCTCTTGATTCACGGATTCATATTTGATTCTAGTTACATTGTGTTAAATGTGTATCAAATTACAAAATTTAATGTAAGATGATATTTCTATGAATATTTGTGCAATTTGTGTTTACTGGTTTTTAGTTACTACAAGGTAAAATATATATATTTGATTAAATTATTATAAACTTTTAATACATTTGAAAATAATAATAAGGTTGTTGTGTTTGGCTTTATCATACAAAATTCATAAATTTGTAAATTTAGATTGTTGACGAATTAACAATATTTTTTCATCTTATTTTATAAGCAGAAGATTATTAAAATTCGTTTTCTGGATTTTTTATTATTATATTTGTTTTGTAGATTTTTTTTTTTGTTGATATGTGAAATTTATTGCTCAACAATAAAAGGATTGTGCATGATAAATAAAAAAGAAATTTTCACCAAAGGGACAGTTTTGAATATTTGTCTCACGTTTTGACAAACTGAAATTTAGTTTTCAGGAATTGACAATTAAGCCAGATTCTGACCAAAATACCCCTAATGAAAGAAATCAAACAGCACAGTAGCTCCTGGTTTAGTTTCTTTTCGTTTGGTTTGCTGTTTGGTTTTAAATTAATTAAAAAAAAAATACAAAGAAAACAAAGAAGAAGAACGAGAGAGAGAGAGACAGACAGAGAGATTCGAGAGAGAAGTCAAATTTCTGTTCGAAATTCATTCATCCATCTTCGTCTTTCGAAATCTCCGTTTCAATTGTTCTGCAACTTGATTTGAGACATCTCATTCAAGTCTAATATCCGGCGAAGAGCAAGTTACTGATTATCCGACGAAGAGGTTAATTTCTGGAGAGTCATTGATTTTGCTTCATTATCAAGTAGAGAGATTAAAGTTAAATAGATTAAGAGATTTCCAGCGAATTGGGAAAAATGATAGAGAATGGTTAGAAAGCAATTGTTCTTCCGACGTAATTGACTTAACGTAACCATCGAACAATGAAACAAAACTCAAACTCTTTAGTTTTTCAAACTTAAAATATACTAGATTTACAAGATTTGTATGTAAAAAACATTCAAAACGTTAAAAAAATGAGATTATGAGATAAAGATTAATGACGGCTGCATATTTAGGGTTGCAGAAGTAGATACTCATGTGGAAGATGACTGCACAATTACAATTATACCCTTCAGCGAATTTCTTTTGTGTACGTATATACAATTTACGGTGTACGTTGGTTTGATTATGTGGACGTGTTAATATTGTACGTTAATTACGTACATGTGAAGTAGTATACGTACATGTGTCGAATAATCAACTTTAATTACGTAAACCAATGGGGCTTTATAAATCACGTACACGTTAATTAGTATACGTACATCTTTCTAATAATCAACTGAATTTTTATGCTAGCCCCACAGTAAGTTGAGTGTCACCAACATTCCTGACATATCATATCTCATATTTCTCAACAAAAAAAGCAATCCACTTGTTGTAATATAATTTTCGTCATTACCTTTACTATTGTTCATAGTCGTCATCTTTATCGTCCTCTTTCTTCTCTTCGTCATCCTCATCTTCTTTCTTTTCATCCTCTTTATTGCCCTCTATTTTTTCTTCCTCATCTACTTCTTCATTGTTTTCACCTCCGACCCATGGTTAGTTTCATCAGTAAAGTTATCCATCATGCACACACTATTCACACTTTCTTTAACGGGTTGGAAAAACGATACAATTTACACTTAGATCGCTACTATGAATAAAAAGAATGTTCCAAGCTCACTTTTTTGTGATAGTTTTATTTATCTCCTGGCAAGACCCTACACATGGTGGTAATAACACCATTCTCTCTGTAATGATCACTACCTCGTTTCTCACGTACACAGTATTACATGTTTACGTACATAGTCTTCAATAGATGTACTTGTGATTTTAAAACATTCTGAATTCTTGACAACCTTTGCAGACAAATGCCACCGACAATTATCATCCACACAAGCCATCTCCAATCTTCTAGGATCAGACCGAGTTTGCTTGTAGCAAAAGCAAACTTTGAGTGCAAGATAAGCCATAGTTTGTTGTATGACTTGCCTGTTCATAAACACACTAGCCACATACAATGTCTCACCAGTCGTACTAATTTCAACTTCTGTAGAATCACATCGAACTTTGGCTAAATCATCAAAGACTGGAGCAGCATCATTATCGAGAATCTCCGGCTCTCCACTATGTAATAAAGAAAATCCATTATACATTTCGTAAGACTCAACCGAGGGTTGTATACGGAGATCAGTTTCATTTAAGACACCAGTTTCTGAACCTCCGATATCCAAATCCACACCAATCTCTCCATTGACTTCGTCTCTACCATTAACATCGGTATCCGTATACGTAACAAATTCACCTTCGCATCCTGTGTCTCGTACACATTCTCTAGTGTACGTACATTGGAGCAATCCTTGTTGATACGTCCGGGTTGAATTCATAGTTAGCTGAGTGTCACCCAAATTCGCACTGGTTTCTCCTGTACGTACACGTTGACTTGTGGTCGTACACTCTGCCAATAGACGACTGAATTCCCCTGCCGGTTCCACGGTCGGTGGAATGTCACAGACGTCCTCGTCAACATGGCCAACTCCATATTCTTCTACAATCAAATCATTCCACTTGTTGAAATCGTAATCTTCACCACTACCTTCACTGCCGTCTATAGTAGGGTCGAGAGTACTTCCCGCACTATAGCCACCACTGACATCGTCATCTTTTTCAATGTTTTCGTCGCTGTCATTCAATTCTTCCCCATCCACCTCTTCGTTCTCCTCATCCTCTGCATCTTCATTTGTTTTTTCATCCTGTACGTCAGTTTGCTCATCTACATCCGCATTAGTGGCATCTACAGTTCTACTGAAAGACACAAACAAGTTGACACTTGGATCCCCAACATGAATCAGAAAGAATGTATCCAAGCTCATTTGATTGTCAATGTAGACAGGAGGGCGTGTACGTTCTATCATAGTTGACATATTTCCCGGCATCCAGTAACTAATTATTGGCTGCCATTTTTTGTACTTCAAATTGAAAACCTCACATAATGTAGGTGTCAAATCCGTGTAC